TCTGCTGCCGTGTTACCCCTAGTAACAAAAGTACCATCAGTCTTGTGAGCCTAACACTTCATGATCACTAGTTCGGCTGGCAACGTCATAGCAGACAACAAATCTGATATACCTGCTCCATGAGTAATTGTGGACCCATCTGCCCTCTGAAATCCTTTCTGTGCCCATATAGGCCTAAATACATGACATACTCCATATGCATATGCTGAATTTGTATAAATTGTACAGCTTTTACCACTTCCTAGTTCACATGCAGCAGTCAGAGCCCTTATTTCTGCCACTTGTGCTGAGCAGGGTTGAGGTAAAGAGACCTCCATTACTGTTTTAACCAAAAGAGGATCCACCATAGCCTCTACGACAGCAAATCAAGCTTTATTCCAGCTTTATTCCCTGTTGTGTACAGCGTGACAGGATTCCCCATCGTAATAGAGGATGCCTTTTGGTATGCAAATGCGGGAGCCTCCAAGGCACGATAACACAGTGTACACAAATAGATGCTGTGAATCTGGTTGGAGAGGTACACTAAAAAATGCAGAGCACAGATCAATTACTGTATACCACTTTGTACCCTCAGGTATGTTTGATGACAACCTGTGCAGGTTTGGAACAATTGGCATTTCAGGTGCCACTATTCTATTTATAGTTCACAAATCATGCACCAACCTCCATTTATCTGAATCAGGCTTCTTGACAGGAAAGATTGGAGTGTTGCAAGGACTCCTGGTGGAAATCAATAAACCTGATTCAATTAGCCCTTGTATGGTTGGTCTTATACCTTCCCAGGCTTGTGAGGACAACGGGTATTGTCTTTAATATGGAAGGCGAATGTTCCCTTTGACTTTTATCTTTGCTAGCCCACCTGATTCAACTAATCCTGTTGGATGCTTTGTCCATAACTTATCTGGCACTTTTCGTAGCAGCAGAGCTTTGAATAAAACAGGTGTCTGCTTACCTTTTTCTTATATGGCCAGTATCTGCTGTCCCACCAGAGGCAATTAATTTGCCAGCAGTAACCTCTCCTGGCTGGCTCGCCAAAATGTCATATCTAAAATGATTAGGTTGCTGAATTTCCTCTAGTTAGTCAATACAATACTCCTCAATTTACTGATCAAAATGAAGCCACGAACAAGATAGATGAGAGAAGCAAAAGTCCAGTTTATTGTTTAAAAAACAAGATGAGATCCCCTCGTGAGACATCCCAAAAGTGATCTTTATCTAAGCACAGATTCGGTGCCCTATTTATACAGTCTTATCTTTAGGTTATGCCCAATTATTTCTTTGCCTTTGTTTATTTATTAATTTTCATACGATTCATTTTCATGTGATTCATATTCATGCATTTGATTCATTTACATGTAATTCATTTTCATGAGATTCATATTCATGCATGTGATTCATTTACATGTAATTCATTTTCATGTAATTCATATTCATGTGATTCACATTCATGTGATTCACATTCATGTGATTCATTTTCATGTGGTTCATTTTCATATGATTCATTTACATATGATTCATTTACATGTGCTTCATATTCATGCATGTGATTAATTTACATATAATTCATTTTCATGTGGTTCATTTTCATATGATTCATTTACATGCGATTCATTTACATATGATTCATTTTCATGTGATTCATATTCATGTGATTCATTTTCATGTGGTTCATTTTCATGTAATTCATTTACATTTTCTCCCCTCCCTTCCCTTTCCCAAATATTTCATTGAGAAGAGAAAATAATAATTATTATTTTTTTAATCCCACCCGCCTTCCCCCGGCTCATCATGGCTACTCAATAGCTGTTGCTGGTTATATAAAAATTATAAAACCCAAGAATCATTAAAGTAAACATAAGAATATAAATAGCCAATTGGAGCTGAAGAGGGGGACACACCCAAAGTCTCCATAAAACAAAGTAGACAGCAGTGTTTCACCCCTAGGGTTGTCCACAAAGTGGACCTAGAGTAAGCTAAACAAAATTACCTAAACTAAAAAAATTCCAGTGAGAAAAGTCCCCTACTGACTTCAAATCTAATAAATAGTCTGCGCACTTTAACAAATATAATGTCCTTTGTGCAGATTCCATTATCACAGTGACCGTGTTGATATTTTACGCTGTGCGAGAGAGCTCCAGCAGATTAAAGCGAGGGATCTGACCATCTCCGTTTTCCCTGACTACACTGTCAAGACAGCCCGGGCCCGGGCCGCGTTTAACGAAGTTCGACGTCAACTTCGTGATATTGAGGGAGCTCGCTATGGAATACATCATCCAGCTCGGCTTCGCATTACATATAACGGTGTCCAGAAGGACTTTATTTCCGCAGAGGAAGCAGCAGAATACGTGAAACTCTTAAAACCGGGGTGAACTGCATCACCTACACAGTGTAGTGTTCCTTATTTATTTATTTATTTATTTGGTATTTATTTTATTTATTATTTTATTTATTTTATTATTATTAATATTATTATTATTATTATTATTATTTATTTATTTTCTCTGATAATATTCTTTATTCAAATGTATTCTTTATTCTTTATTCTTTATTCTAATTTATTCTCTATTCTTTATTCTAATATTATTTATTTTAATTTCTATTTTATTATCATCTTGTTATTCTCTTCTTGTATTTTATTTTAATATGCTACACTGTGTAATATTATTAGGTATAAGTCTTTAAAAGGTATGGACATTATATTTGTTAAAGTGCGCAGACTATTTAGTAGATTTGAAGTCAGCAGGGGACTTTGTTCGTACTGGAATTTTTTATTTTAGTAATTTTTTTTTTTAGCTTACTCTAGGTCCACTTTGTGGACAACCCTAGGGGTGATACACTGCTGTCTCCTTTTTTATGGAGACTTTGGGTGTGTGTCCCTCTTCAGCTCCAATTGGCTATTTATATTCTTATTTTTACTTTAGTTTTTGGGTTTTATAATTTTATATAACCAGCAACAGCTATTGAGTAGCCATGATGAGCCGGGGGGGCGGGGGGGGAATTTTTTAAAAAAATTAATTAATTAATTGATAATGATAATGATAGTGACAATGATTATTGTTATTATTGTTATTATTTTTTCTCAATGAAATATTTGGGGAAGGGAGGGGAGAAAAGGTAAATGAATTACATGAATATGAAACACATGAAAATGAATTATATGTAAATTAATTACATGAATATGAATCACATGCATGAATATGAATCACATGAAAATGTATCATATGTAAATGAATCACATGACAATGAATCACATGTAAATGAAAACCATGAATGAATATGAATCACATAATAATGAATTACATGTAAATTAATTACATGAATATGTAAATGAATCATATGAAAATGAATAAATAAACAAAGGCAAAAATATATATATATATATATATATATATATATATATATATATATATATATATATATATATATATATATATAATGTCCTTACATTTTAAAGACTTATACCTAATATTACACAGTGTAGCATATTAAAATAAAAAAGAAGAAGAAAATAACTAATAAAATGAAATAAACTCTAACCCAGTCAGAGCATCAAAATAGAGACGGACATTAATACAGATGTAGATTTAATAGGAGTGAGTCCCCAAATTGTAGAAGAAGTAATGCACCAACAATAAAGAATTCGAATTCTGTAGAGCTGGAAGGCCGAGTGCAAAAAAAGAATAAAGAATAAAAGAAAAAATAAAGAAAGAAAGAAAGAACTATGTAGGTGATGCAGTTCACCCCGGTATTAAGAGTTTAACGTAGTCTGCTGCTTCCTCCGCTGAAATAAAGTCCTTCTGGACACCGTTATATGTAATGCGAATCCGAGCTGGGTGAAGTATTCCATAGCGAGCTCCCTCAATATCACGAAGCCCGGGCCCCGGCTGTCTTGACTGTGTAGTCAGGGAAAACGGAGATGGTCAGATCCCTCACTTTAATCTGCTGGACCTCTCTCGCACGGTGTAAAATATCAACACAGTCACTGTGATAATGGAATCTGCACACAATAGCTCGTGGTCGCTCACCAGACTTCGGCTTCGGCTGAAGGGTCCGGTGGGACCGGTCCAGAACCGGCTCCACACCTGAGTGTGACGAGGTTAGGGCCACCACTCGGGGATACGGATGCAGTCGCGGATGCGACTGTGGGTTCACGGGGAGAAGGGAGCGTGGCTACAGATTCATGAGGAGAAGGAGGCGCGGGTGTGGGTTCATGGTAAGAGGGAGTCGCGGCTGCAGATTCACGGCGAGAAGGAGACGTGCTCGCGGTGCGCACACTAGACCTCAGTTTTGTCTGAATGCTACCACCGATTTTCGAGTTTTTCCCCAACATCTTAACGAACCACCGAGTTAAAAATACAACTAAGGAAACGAAATAGAATAAGTAAAAATAGTTTTTTTACAAGTTTACATGTACACACTCGGATGACTTCCTTTACGTCAAAGCAATTTCCTAGGATGGAAGATTTGTTTGGCACGAGCTTGTCTGATGAATGCCAAGGTGCTTTGTTGCTCATCTGCATAGAGTTTTCTCTGCATTAAGAAACAGGTTCATAGCAGGCATCAACTTGCACAGGCCATCACAGGAATGGGGTACGGGACAAGGCTTAAGTGCAATGTCTTGCCTCATTTATGGTTTGATCGTTTATGTTTAGATCATTTCCACAGTGCCAAGCGTCTTTTTGAGCCTTTTCTAACCCTAACCCTACATGATGTGAAAGAATACGCTATTCCTCAGACCAAGCCACCTTCTTATTGCTCCGTGGTCCTGTGCTGATGCTCATGTGCCCTTTGTAGGAGCTTTTGGTGGAAGACAGTGGCCAGCATAGCCAGTGTAGACGCCACCCCTTGCTTGGTTTTCGTCCCTGGTTGTCTAGTGGTAAGGATTCGGCGCTCTCACTGCTGCGGCCCGGGGTTCGATTCCCGGTCATGCAATCGTGTTTTATCCACCTCCGGCCGCAGGACCATTTAAAAAAAAAATCCATCTCACACAGAGGAAGACTTCCTTCAAGCTGGAGTCGAACCAGCGATCTGAGAATGCTCACTATAAGCACCTACAGTCCTGCTCTCTACCAACTGAGCTATCAAATGTAAAACAAAAAGAATTCCATTCAATTCTATTCAATTTTATTTGGTTAAGCGAAACTTATTTACATTAAATAAATGTATTTTGCCTATAAATGTGTTTGTCCATCTTTATATTCTCATGTTTCTGCCCCTCTTCAATACATTTACTTCAATGAAGTAACCAGAGCATTCACAAGTTTACATGTACACACTCGGATGACTTCCTTTACGTCAAAGCTTGTTTGATGAATGCCAAGGTGCTTTCTTTCTCATCTGCATAGAGTTGTCTCTGCGTTAAGACACAGGTTCATAGCAGGCTTCAACTTGCACAGGTAAACACTTCCCGGTCAGGGAATCGTATTTTATCCACCTCCGTCCGAATGACCACTTAAAAAAAAAATCCATCTCATTCAGAGAAAGACAGCCTACGAGCAGGAGTCGAACCAGCAACCTGAGAATGACCACTATAAGCACCTACAGTTTTCCGAGCTACCAACTGAGCTATCAAAGGTAAAGCAACATGAATTCAATTCTTCAAAGCAGCTTTAGAGAAATATCGACACAGTATATAGATATATAAGGTGCATGCAAATTTATCCCAACTGAGCAAGCCACTAGGTGGCAAGGAAAAACTCCCTAAGATGTTAAGAGGATGAAACCTTGAGAGGAACCAGAATCAGTAGGGAACCCATCCTCATCTGGGTAACAACAGATAGTGTGAAAAAGCTCATTATGGATTCATATGAAGTCTCTTTGGCCTTAGAAGCAGCCGCAGTCCCAGCAATCTGGAATTTGAGTAGATGAGAGCTCCATCCAGAGGTAGGCCATCCGAAACGGATCAGGCAGGTCCGGAGAACAGAGAGGATCAGGATCTCTAGTATCTCCATAAAATCGTGTGTGGCTCGACAGAAGCAGAGAGGGAGAGAAAAGAATATTAGGACTGTGCTTAGCATAAGAGAAAGCCTAGTCAGGGTAGGCTTGAGTAAACAAAAATGTTTTAAGCCTAGACTTAAACACTGAGACTGTGTCTGAGTCCTGAACACTAACTGGAAGACTGTTCCCTAACCGTGGGGCTCTATAAGAGAAAGCTCATCCCCCTGCTGTAGCCTTCGCTATTCCAGGTACTGACAAATAGCCTGCATCGTTTGACCTAAGTAGGCGTGGCGGATCACAGAAAAACAAAAGGTCGCTCAGATACTGTGGCGCGAGACCATTTAGTGAATTATAGGTTAATACTAGTATTTTATAATATAAAGTATTTTATCTTTGATAAGTGATCTAGCAAACGAGACCGATGTTCTATTCGAATTCTGTTCTTCACAAGCAATGCGGCAAAGTGATTTAAAGAAACACTCGACTATTTTTTCTGGAGCCTATAAACGTGTTTGTCCATCTTTATATTCTCATGTTTCTGCCCCTCTTCAATACATTTACTTCAATGAAGTAACCAGAGCATTTACAAGTTTACATGTACACACTCGGATGACTTCCTTTACGTCAAAGCTTGTTTGATGAATGCCAAGGTGCTTTCTTTCTCATCTGCATAGAGTTGTCTCTGCGTTAAGACACAGGTTCATAGCAGGCTTCAACTTGCAAAGGTTAAAAACCCCTGTGCAGTTCACGTCCAGTGCAATATTCTGTTGGCCATTACGAGTATGGGGCACGGGACAAGGCTAAAGTGCAATTTCTTGGCTCATTTATGGTTTGATTGTTTATGTTTTGATCATATCCAAAGTGCGAACCGTCTTGGTACATGTGAGCAGGTTTTCCTCGTTAGTATAGTGGACAGTATCTCCGCCTGTCACGCGGAAGACCGGGGTTCGATTCCCCGACGGGGAGTGTGTTTTATAATACTAGTGCCATATTCTTTTGCCCGTCACACGAATGGAGCATGAGACACGGCTTAAGTGCAATTCCTTGCCTCATTTATGCTTTGCTCATTTCCAACGTGCCAGCCGCTTTTACAAGCCTTACCAGGAATGTAGGGCGCGTAAGACAACGCTATATGCAACTCCTTGGGCAAGCGTCTTTTCAAGCCTTTTCAAGCCATTTCTAACCCTAACCCTAAGCCGTACATGATGTTAGAGAAAACGTGATTCATCAGCTCCCTTTTAGTTCACAAGCTATCTTTTCAGCATAACGCACTTTTATATAGCTATCACATAAAATGTACAATCATTTGTACATAACATTTATTGCAAATTTATTTCAATTTACGTCAAAGCAATTTCCTAGCATGGAAGATTTGTTTGGCACGAGCTTGTTTGATGAATGCCAAGGTGCTTTCTTGCTCATCTGTATAGAGTTTTCTCTGCATTAAGACACAGGTTCATAGCAGGCTTCAACTTGCACAGGTAAAAACCCCTGTGCAGTTAGAGTCCAGTGCCATATTCTGTTGGCCATCACGGGTATGGGGCACAGGACAAGGCTTAAGTGCAATGTCTTGGCTCATTTATGGTTTGATCATTTATGTTTAGATCATTTCCACAGTGCCAAGTGTCTTTACAAGCCTTACCCGGAATGGAGCATAAGACAAGGCTTAAGCACAACTCCATCACGGGTATGGGTCACGGGACAAGGCTTAAGTGCAATTTCTTGGCTCATTTATGGTTTGATCTTTATGTTTTGATCATATCCAAAGTGCGAACCGTCATGGCGTGGTCAGCAGGATATCCTCGTTAGTATAGTGGACATTATCTCCGCCTATCACGCGGAAGACTGGCTTTGATTCTGACGGGAGTCTGTTATATAACACTAGTGCCATATTCTTCTGCCCATCACACGAATGGAGCATGAGACACGGCTTAAGTGCAATTCCTTGCCTCATTTATGCTTTGCTCATTTCCAACGTACAACCGTCTTTACAAGCCTTACCAGGAATGGAGCGTAAGACAACGGCTTAAGTGCAACTCTTGGCCAAGCGTCTTTTCGCCTTTTCAAGCCATTTCTAACCCTAACCCTAAGCCGTACATGATGTTAGAGAAAACGTGATTCATGAGCTCCCTTTTACTTCACAAGCTATCTTTTCAGCATAACGCGTTTATATAGCTATCACATAAAATGTACAATCACTTGTACATAACATTTATTGCAAATTTAGATCATTTCCACAGTGCCAACCGGCCTTTACAAGCCTTACCCGGAATGGAGCATAAGACAAGGCTTAAGCGCTACTCCTTGGCCAAGCGTCTTTTTGAGCCTTTTCTAACCTTAACCCTACATGATGTGAAAGAATATGCTATTCCTCAGACCATGCCACCTTCTTATTGCTCCGTGGTCCTGTGCTGATGCTCATGTGCCCTTTGTAGGAGCTTTTGGTGGAAGACAGTGGCCAGCATAGCCAGTGTAGACGCCACCCCTTGCTTGGTTTTCGTCTCTGGTTGTCTAGTGGTAAGGATTCCACCGCCGCGGCCCGGGTTCGATTCCCAGTCAGGGAATCGTGTTTTATCCACCTCCGTCCGAATGACCATTTAAAAAAAAATCCATCTCAGTCAGAGAAAGACTTCCTTCGAGCCGGAGTCGAACCAGCGACCTGAGGATGACCCCTATAAGCACCTACAGTCCTCCGCTCTACCAACTGAGCTATCGAAGGTAAAGCAACATCAATTCAATTCTTCAAAGCAGCTTTACAGAAATATCAACACGGTATATAGATATATAAGTGTGTCCAATTTATCCCAACTGAGCAAACCACTAGGTGGCAAGGAAAAACTCCCTAAGATGTTAAGAGGATGAAACCTTGAGAGGAACCAGAATCAGTAGGGAATCCATCCTCATCTGGGTAACAACAGATAGTGTGAAAAAGCTCATTATGGATTCATATGAAGTCTCTTTGGCCTTAGACGCAGCCGCAGTCCCAGCAATGTGGAATTGGAGTAGATGAGAGCTCCATCCAGATGTAGGCCATCCGAAACAGATCAGGCAGGTCCGGAGAACAGAGAGGATCAGGATCTCTAGTATCTCCATAAAATCGTGCGTGGCTCGACAGAAGCAGAGAGGAAGAGAAAAAAATATTAGGACTCTGCTTAGCATAAGAGAAAGCCTAGTCAGGGTAGGCTTGAGTAAACAAAAACGTTTTAAGCCTAGACTTAAACACTGAGACTGTGTCTGAGTCCTGAACACTAACTGGAATACTGTTCCGTAACCGTGGGGCTCTATAAGAGAAAACTCATCCCCCTGCTGTAGCCTTCGCTATTCCAGGCACTGTCAAATAGCCTGCATCTTTTGACCTAAGTAGGCGTGGCGGATCATAGAAAACCAAAAGGTCGCTCAGATACTGTGGCGCGAGACCATTTAGTGATTTATGGGTTAATACTAGTATTTTATAATATAAAGTATTTCATCTTTGATAAGTGATCTAGCAAACGAGACCGATGTTCTATCGAATTCTGTTCTTCAAAAGCAATGCGGCAAAGTGATTTAAAGAAACACTTCGACTATTTTTTCTGGAGCCTATAAATGTGTTTGTCCATCTTTATATTCTCATGTTTCTGCCCCTCTTCAATACATTTACTTCAATGAAGTAACCAGAGCATTTACAAGTTTACATGTACACACTCGGATGACTTCCTTTACGTCAAAGCTTGTTTGATGAATGCCAAGGTGCTTTCTTTCTCATCTGCATAGAGTTGTCTCTGCGCAAGACACAGGTTCATAGCAGGCTTCAACTTGCAAAGGTTAAGCCACTAGGTGGCAAGGAAAAACTCCCTAAGATGTTAAGAGGATGAAAACTTGAGAGGAACCAGAATCAGTAGGGAACCCATCCTCATCTGGGTAACAACAGATAGTGTGAAAAAGCTCATTATGGATTCATATGAAGTCTCTTTGGCCTTAGAAGCAGCCGCAGTCCCAGCAATGTGGAATTGGAGTAGATGAGAGCTCCATGCAGAGGTAGGCCATCCGAAACGGATCAGGCAGGTCCGGAGAACGAGAGGATCAGGATCTCTAGTATCTCCATAAAATCGGTGTGTGCCTCGACAGAAGCAGAGAGGGAGAGAAAAGAATATTAGGACTGTGCTTAGCATAAGACAAAGCCTAGTCAGGGTAGGCTTGAGTAAACAAAAACGTTTTAAGCCTAGACTTAAACACTGAGACTGTGTCTGAGTCCTGAACACTAACTGGAAGACTGTTCCGTAACCGTGGGGCTCTATAAGAGAAAACTCATCCCCCTGCTGTAGCCTTCGCTATTCCAGGTACTGACAAATAGCCTGCATCTTTTGCCCTAGGTAGGCGTGGCAGATCACAGAAAACAAAAAGGTCGCTCAGATACTGTGGCGCGAGACCATTTAGTGATTTATGGGTTAATACTAGTATTTTATAATATAAAGTATTTTATCTTTGATAAGTGATCTAGTAAACGAGCCCGATGTTCTATTCGAATTCTGTTCTTCACAAGCAATGCGGCAAAGTGATTTAAAGAAACACTCGACTATTTTTTCTGGAGCCTATAAATGTGTTTGTCCATCTTTATATTCTCATGTTTCTGCCCCTCTTCAATACATTTACTTCAAT